AAAAAAAAAAAAAAAAAACCTTAACCAGTATACATGAGAAAGCCCATTCTCAGCACAATTTGGGCCACTCACAAAAATGAGGTTAGGGTAACCCAGTTTTGTCCTCTGAGTTCATTGTGAAGCAGCGGCCAATAATCAAGTTGATGTTCTTCAAATACTCTTTCAATTTTTCAAAGGCCTCAACAACTCCTGCAACTGCACTTTCATACAATGTTTTGAGGTACATGAACAAGTAGTTAGCTACAAAGCTCACAAACCAAACGATCCAGACGCAGAGGAAGGCTAACCCCAAAACTCGGACAAGGATCACTAATTCCAAAACCAAGGTAAGAGCTCCAAAAGGAAGGCTAATTTGGTCCATCAATTTTGGCAAATCTGAATTGGGGTAAGCTTGTCTTATATATGTAGCGCCAATTAATGATCCGCGGTAAACGATGAAAGCAACAACAAGGCTCACAAGAGTGAGGTAGTCTGTGTCAAATACTCCCTGTTTCAGCGGGAGGAGCCCTGCTAGCACGGTGATGGAATAAAATATATGTTTATGCAATTCCCTTGAAGAACGTTCTTTGCTTGTGCTGCTGCTGCTGTTACAATTAATTAATGACAAAATGTTATCAGCATTGCAAACTAATAAGAAAAACTATGATCTACAACTTAAACGCTTACAACAGATCAAGAGCAAAGTTTTTAAACTAGTCCCATTCCCATAAACTGCTCTGCTTCAAATGAGCTCTTTTTTCTGGCTTATTACATCAATATGTCCGGGGTATGGATGTATTTGTATGTATATGTTCTCCTTAAACGAAGGCAAAAAGCCCCAACATGAAAGGTAAAGTAGTAGTATGTATGTATGTACACTTACGCCTCTGAACGCAGGGGGTCGCCAACAGGAATGCTTGTTTGATGGTTCATCCCGAGCCAAACCAAATTAATAACTGCAGGAGAAAAGAACAAACGGAATTCAGATCGGAAGTTCATGTATTAACACAACTAGAGTTACTGGATCTATTTCTGGGTGTTCGAATCACTTGGCGGAGGTGGCTGTCGTCTAATTTTAAAGACTCAAATTGATATCAATACATTCACAGCCAGAATTAACTCATACGGAAAGCAAGAACCACAAAAAAAATTAAGAATTTAGGGAAGGAAGCGCAGCAATTTAGAAGAAAAAAACAGAGCATACACATACGACTGAATGCATTCATATAACAGCTATCAATTGTTTACCACAATATATAACGATTTGAGAGAGCTGAAATTGTTGGCAAAGTAAAAGCGGTGCTGGCAATTTGAGAGAACTTGAGGAATTCGGGAGAATTATGGATTTTGGGTTTTGGGGAATGTCGAGCTGGGCTGGAGGGAAAATGGAGAAGACAATGCTCTTTTGACCTTTTTTTAAAAAAATTCGTGGCTTCGACCACACAAAAAATTTACTTTTCTCAAAACGACGTCGTTTAGTCAGTGATTTTAAAACAAAAAACCAAAAGCAGCTGCGCGGGAAATCGTTGGCTGGACTGCCCAGCATTTCATCGAGCATTTGGCGGGCATGTGATGATTCATCCCGCACGGTTGGCCAAAGTCTGCTGCAGTAAGAAAGAAACAGAATTTAGACCAAAGGCGCGTCGCATATTATTGGATACATTGTTTCTGTGTAACTGGGTTGAGCCAGATAAAAAAGGGCAAAAAAGAAGCAACTGGGTTTTTAAGCTACAACACAAGAAAAAAACTGAAAGAAAAACAGTGCACTTAACTCGATCGTCTTATGAGTCTTTGAACAATTGTGCAGAGACACAACTAAATTCCATACCCAAAGCCAGAAAAAAACAAAACAAAACACAAAGAAAAAATGAAGAAAAGAAGAAGCAACTGGGCATGTTTTTGAGCTACAACATAAGAAAAAATACTGCTTCCCCAGACAACTAAATTCCATATCCAGAGCTAGAAAAAACGAAGGCATTTAGATTTGCAAAGGACTGCTTCCCCAGACAACTTGGGAAAAGTTTGGGACCAAAGCCAGCTTATAAGCCTTATCATCATGCACTATTGGCAGATTTTGGCGAACTCATAAGAAAAACAGGCAAACAATGAAAGCAATAAAATGTGCACTTACTCTTGTAAACGTCTGACGGTTGTATGGTATGGTATAGATATGGAGTGCCCTTCCCTTCGTACGAACCGGAAATGTAAAACTCAGTGCAAGTCTCCTGAGGAGGGAAGAAGTGCTTGTTAATATAGGGAGGAGTGACACTTGACGTGGAAATGAAATTCCTGGTTCCTTGGTTCCTATTGGGCCGTCGAGTATTGTAAGACGCATATGTCTATGATGTGTGCCAGGTGTCAACATATCTTCACCCTCTTTGAACTCTCTCGCTCATCCCCCTCTCTCTCTCTCTTTCTCTCACTCTCTCTCTCTCTTCTGTCAACATCTTCAATTCTGATACCCTTCTGTCTCTCTACATTCAATTCTCATCCCCTCTCTGTCTCTCGTGTCAACATCTTCAATTCTGACACCCCCCTCTTTCTCTCTACATGTATCTTCGACGCGTTCTATCTTCTACTCTCTATATCTTCAGCAAATAAGGCAACGGACGCTGATTGGGGACTTTATTATGTCATTCAACCAAAAAGTTACATGCCAGGTAGGCTCTACTAGGCATTTTCTTCGTCAATAAGATGGACAAAAGAAATAACCACTGTTTTCACCCCCCATGATTATCAACTCGTACTTTTTTTCTTATTTGTCGTTATTTGTCACAAGCATCTTTATTTCATCGTGCATGAGTATATGAAGTATTACACACAATCCCACTTGTTAAATCTGTGAAGAAGAAAAAAAACAACTTATTCTTTCCACGGGGATATAATTTTATATACTTAAATAGTCCATCTTGTTGGGTGAGATAAAAAGATTGCCTTTTTAGATTGGCTTAAATTGCCAGTGGCTTGGAGTGGTTTGGAAATTATTGATAAGTATATGCAAATTTTAGTTGGTTTGTTTTTTAGGCAAAATAACATTACCTCAATTTATATTCCTTATAATTGAAAACAGTTCAGTCTAATTTTATCCCAGCCTTGTAATTTATTCTCTGGATTACACACAAG